CTCACATTTCAGCCTTTAAATAAAGAAAAGATATGTCAAAATGATAATTGATTAATAAATGATTATATGTATTTTATCTGCTCCACGAATAATTCTAGATAACTCATCTGAATTGTTTAAATGTGTAGAATCCACATAAGCTTGTTTTTCATCGACCGGTCAAAGTTTTCAGCAGGGCGTGCGAATTCTGTCCGTTTTTGGCCAGACAGAAACCGCACACAGACTGAATGTAAATATAGGTCTCTGTAAATCCACTCGCTGACAGCAGGTGGCGCTTATGGAAAAGCAGAATTACAGCTGTTTCCCGTAACCTCCGAGGACAAAGCAGTATTGCGATTTAGAAAACTTCTTTTAGGTATTACATGGAGCGGAGATGATAACAAAATGCCGTTGAATCGTTTCTGAAGACAGTCAGAACCTTCAGAGGAACATTCATATAATTAATTCATTCATATATGCATTTGCATAATTAATTCCCTTAGCACTCTTTTAAAACCTCCCAGTTTTTCCGCCCTGTTTTCACTCAAAACTAAACTACTCTGCTGCTGTGCGCATGTGAGACTGTTACTTAAAACTGTGCTTTATGCTGGATAGTTTTTATTTATCGCGAGTTGTTCAAATCGCGGTAATCTAATACGGTTTTAATGATAATTAAAAGATGAAACGGTAATACTAACCATGGAGAATTTTATCATGATTTATCGTCAAACCGGTAATCGTTACATCCCCAAATTATATTTGCGACTTTTGACTTTTCTTCTCGCAATTGCGAGTTTATATCACGCAATTCTGACTTTATAATTCGTAATTCTGAGAAAAAAAGTCAGAATTGTGAGATAAAAAGTCGCAATTACCTTGTTTTATTTTTTATTTAGTGGCAGAAATGGGCTTCCATATTCAAGCGATTAATCGCATACAAAATAAAGGTTTTTGTTTGCATAATATGTATCTTTGCATTGATGTATGGTTTGTTAGGATTGGACAATATTTGGTCGAGATACAACTATTTGAAAATCTGGAATCTGAGGGTGCAAAAAAATCTAAATATTGAGAAAATCATCTGTGCCGTTTTGACCCATACAATGTATTGTTGGCTATTGCTAAAAATATCCCCCAGCGACTTAACACTGCTTTTGTGCTCCAGGGTCACATATATATATATATATATATATATATATATATATAATAGTGGTTTAATGATGTTTGAGTTCATGTTGGGATCTTTGATTGCAGACTTGAGCAAATCAGTTTGAGACGCTGTTCAGATCTCTTCTGAAACTCAAGACGAGCGTCTGAGAAGCTGAAGACTTCAGCAAAACCTGCGTTTGCTCTCATTTTCCAGTTTCTACCCAAGAGAAACAGTGAAGGTATTAAAGAGATCTCATAAGTGATCTGGACGTGTTGGTCAAACACAGAGCGATCGCTCTGGACCGAGTGTTTGGTGTGTTGGGTTGAGCACCTTCTGGCTGCTGTCGGTGGTGATGGCCAGTCCGTTTGGCACCAGGCCGGCCGTTTTGTGTTTCTTCACCAGTCGCACAGACACCACCGGGATGGCAACCTAAACCAGAAAACCACATCAACAGACCAGACATCGCACAAAAACACCCAAACCAAGCCGTTATTAGCAGAATCGCGGATCCAGGATCTTTGCACTTCTCATTCTATCAGACAAAAAAAACAGAAAACCTCATCCAGACGAAGCCAAAAGAGAGAGTGGACTGAACGTTAGGTCTAGTGCAGCAGAAATGTCAACAGAGCAGTCGGTTGAAATGGGGTCAGCAGCTCGATATTCCCCCCGGGATCAAACAACAGAAGAAATCTGCCTTCCACAAATACTCTGCACTGGTGTTATTTATTTTTAAAACATTAGTAGTCTTTCCCATATTGTGGTGCTTGGCCTTTTCAGCTCTATCCAGCAAAAACTGATATTCAGTTTGCTGTAATAAAACATATTTTTATTAAAGGATTAGTTCACTTTCACATTAAAATTCCTGATAATTTACTCACCCCCATGTCATCCCAGATGTTTACGTCTTTCTTTCTTCAGTCGAAAAGAAATGAAGCTTTTTGATTATTCTCCTTATAGTGGACTTCGACGGCTAACAAACGGTCAAAATGACGGTTTCAGTGCAGCTTCAAAGAGCTCTACACGATCCCAGATGAGGAATAAGGGTCTTATCTAGTCATTTAAAAAAAAATAAAGTATGTGCTTTATAAACAAAAATGCACGCCTTGCACTGCTCTGCGATGCACGTCCTTGACGTCACGTAATACGTAATTACGTTGACACGCTTGATGTAGGCGGAAGCACCGACTCAGTCAGTGTTTACAAATGTGGAGAAGGAGGACCGTTCAAAAGTTGTTGTATGTTCAATGACACATATTCAAATGTCTTTGTGTCAGTTTATCGTTTAAAATGGTCACTTCGTGTGCGTATCCTGGATGTTTAAATCTTTATGAAACCTTACTTCCGCCTACGTCAAGCGTGTCAACATAATTACGTATTACGTGACGTCAAGGACGTGCATCGCAGAGCAGTGCAAGGCGTGCATTTACCGACTCAGTCAGTGTTTACAAATGTGGAGAAGGAGGACCGTTCAAAAGTTGTTGTATGTTCAATGACACATATTCAAATGTCTTTGTGTCAGTTTATCGTTTAAAATGGTCACTTCGTGTGCGTATCCTGGATGTTTAAATCTTTATGAAACCTTACTTCCGCCTACGTCAAGCGTGTCAACATAATTACGTATTACGTGACGTCAAGGACGTGCATCGCAGAGCAGTGCAAGGCGTGCATTTTTGTTTATAAAGCATATACTTAATTTTTTTCAGAAAATGACTAGATAAGACCCTTATTCCTCGTCTGGGATCGTGTAGAGCTCTTTGAAGCTGCACTGAAACCGTCATTTTGACCGTTTGGCAGCCGTTGAAGTCCACTATAAGGAGAATAATCCTGGAATGTTTTCATCAAAAAGCTTCATTTCTTTTCGACTGAAGAAAGAAAGACGTAAACATCTGGGATGACATGGGGGCGAGTAAATTATCAGGAATTTTTAATGTGAAAGTGAACTAATCCTTTAACTTTGGGAACACTTTAGAATAGGGACCAATTCTCACTATTAACTAGTTGCTTATTAGCGTGCCTGTTATTAACATATTGGCTGTTTATTAACACATATAAAGCACATCCCAAACCAAAGCCACTGATTATTTTAATGTCATGACGAATAATAATAACCTGCTTCCCACATTCTGACCCATCGATTTCCATGACTTTCCATGATGCATCGGTCCCTTCTGATGACTGGATAAGAGTTTCATTATAAAGAGTCACGAACAGCAGATTTCCCCCAAAAAGTTTAGATTAATTTCTATCACTTTTCCAGACCTGGAAATCAGCACAACCATGATGACCGACATTTATCTCTTCTGTTTGTTTACATGCTAAAATTAGGCATTAAAGCACTATAACATTCAACAGAAAATATCAATAACTGCTTCATTTGATCTCCTTACAATAAATACTATGATAGTGCATAAATAAATAATAGTATACTAGTAGCTATAACATTAATATTGTCCAGTGTTATTTTAATATTATTTACACGCTATTATAGTATTTATTCATGTTTTGAATTAGCTTTATTTTTATATTTTCACTTTTCATCAGCACAACCATGATGACCGACATTTATCTCTTCTGTTTGTTTACATGCTAAAATTAGGCATTAAAGCACTATAACATTCAACAGAAAATATCAATAACTGCTTCATTTGATCTCCTTACAATAAATACTATGATAGTGCATAAATAAATAATAGTATACTAGTAGCTATAACATTAATATTATCTAGTGTTATTTTAATATTATTTACACGCTATTATAGTATTTATTCATGTTTTGAATTAGCTTTATTTTTATATTTTCACTTTTTGTTTTAGTAATTTTATGTGCTTGTCATTTTTATTAGTTTTGACTTTTTAGCTTTGATTTGAATATCAGTGTTATTTTAGTATTATTTATTCACTATTCATATTTTTACATTTTCAGTTTTCATTTTAGTAATTGTATGTGCTTTTGTCATTTTTATTAATTTCATTATTTTTTCAGCTTTAATTTGAGCATCGGTCTTGTTTTAGTATTATCTTTACACTATTATATCAATTATTAATATTTTGGATTCGTTTTTTTATTTCTATATTTGGATTTTTCATTTTATGTTAGGTTTTAGCAATTTGATGTGCAATTGTAATTTGTATTAGTTTTTAATTTGCAGATCAGTGTTATTTTTGTATTATTTTTACATTATTATAAAATTATAGCTTTTATTTTAATATTTTCAGTAAATATTTAGTCATTTGTTTTAATTTTTAGCTTTAATTTGCAGATCAGTGTTATTTTAGTATCATTATTACATAGCATTCATTGATATTTTGAATTATCTTGGATATTTATATTTTCAGTTTTCATTTTAGTTAACATTTTTGTAATTTTACTCTGTGCATTTGTCATTTTTATTAGTCATATTTTTAGCTTTAGTGTTATTTTGTATTATTTACACAGTACACTATTATAGCGTTTATTGATATTTCGAATTAGCTTTTATTTTTAGATTTTTTGTTTTCATTTTAGTTTACGTTTTAACAATTTATGTGCTTTTGTCATTTTTATTAGTTCTAATTTCTTAGCTTTAATTTATTTTTTATTTCAGTTAGTTCCCAGAGCAACATTTCTAATTTATGTTTACGTTTTTCACTTAATTTGATTTGATTTTATCTTGAATCCTTATAATTCAACATCTTTAATTCACATGTTAAAGAAAGTGCTACAAACCTTGATATCTTTCCCGAAAAGGTTTGCGTAGAAACACAGCCAGTTTCGAGAAATGTAAAGCCGTCCTTGCAGCAGAATGTCCCGCAGAAGAGCACAGGAATAAACTACAGAGACACAGAAGAGACACTTTAATATTAACACAACAGTTAGTGCGAAATACAACACATATTCACATCCAAAACCTGGTGCCACATCCAAACGAAAGCAGTAGAGCAGTGCTTTATTCATCTGTCATGTTACGCACAATAATGCTGCATAGTGTAATAATGTTAATGCGTCTCAGTGTTTCATTTCAAGCAGAGACGGCTCATTTCTTGTCTCCACTGAGAATCACTGATTGAAAGTATATATGTGTCCCTGCAGCACAAAAGCAGTGTTAAGTCTCTGGGGGATATTTGTAGCAATAGCCAAAAATACATTGTATGGGTCAAAATTATACATTTTTCTTTTATGCCAAAAATCATTAGGATATTAAGATCATGTTCCATGAAGATATTTAGTAAATTTCCTACCGTAAATATATCAAAACTTAATTTTTGATTAGTAATATGCATGGCTAAGAACTTCATTTGGACAACTTTAAAGTTGATTTTCTCAATATTTAGATTTTGTTGCACCCTCAGATTCCAGATTTTCAAATATTGTCCGATCCTAACAAACCACACATCAATGGAAAGCGTATTTATTCAGAAATTGACACTTATGACTGGTTTTGTGGTCCAGTGTCACAAATGGACATGCGGATGGATCGGATACGTCACCCTTCATGAGGATCTCCTCCTTCGGGACGGCCGAGAAGAGTTTGTGGTACTGGGAGTTGTATTTGCTGACAGTCTGTGAAGAAAAACACTCTTTCATTCACAAAATACTAAAAACTAAACCGAACTGGTCATGAGACAGCCCTAACTAGGTTAAACTAACCATAGCGGTTCACCGGAAGCAGCGCAACACTAAACGGATTCGTTTTCTCGTATGACGTAAGCGACGGAAACTTGCATCACGGATGATTGTTAAACACACAGCAACTCACAGCAACTGAGAAACTATGCAGCGATGGACAAACAGAATCTATTCATGTCAGATCTGAAAAAGCGCATTCGATTCGTACGTGTTTTTGCTGAAAACTGAACCCATGCACTTTCCCAGTTCAATACACATTCATGTAAGTTGAAAGATGCACTGGTAGAAGGCAATGAAATATACTTACTGAGCCCCTGTAGCATTTCTTTACATCCTCATATGACAGATCGTCAATGAGCTGAAGCCTGAAAACACACACACAAACAACAGCTTTTCAAAACATTTTTCCTCTTTTTTTCAAAACTTTACACACAAGTGCAAGAATTGCACACACAGAATGCAAAATGCATCACATCTCTTGCAAAATGAAGCAAAAATATTTCTATTATATTTTATATTATTCTATATTTATGTTATGTTTAATATATAAACAAATATCAATATTATATATAGACAGAGAAAGACCTTGAGAAAATATCAGAATAAAACTTTTCCACAAAAACTAAACAAGTCTCTAAGAATAAAAAAATCATCAACAAATGATATAATAACAGTAACAATAATAATAATACACACATACAGAAATTACAAATTTAAATGATTTATTTAAAGTATCTATATTATATTTTCCTATTTTTTTCTATTTCTTATATATCTTATATTTTTCTATTATATTTTGTATTCAATTAATATATACATAAACACCTAGATGATTAAAATGATCATTACTATTTTAAATGTTAGTCCCTTTAGATGAAAAATCTCTTTTAAAACTAAACAAGGCTCAAAGAAGCAAAAACTTAGCAACAAAACAACCATATTGAGACTGAAGAGAAATATTCAGAACAAACACACATTTCATCTCTATCGATGCAAATCCGGTCTTTAGGAAGATTCCTGCTATGCAAAAGCGCTTCAGTTCAGTGCAAACAAACACATGGTCAAACACACGTTTGCAAAATATGATGAATGTGTCTGTGCACGTGGTCCAAATGAGACCCAAATGTCATGCAAACTGTGTGAACAATTGATCATACAAACAGACATGAAGCCCAAAAGCATCAGTCCGGCTCCGGCCGCAGGCAAACGTGTGCAAATGACTGCAAACGCACATTTTCATATTTATTTATCAGGTCAAAAACCTGATATACATACATATATGTGTGAGTGTGTGTGTGAGTGTGTGTGTGAGAGAGTGTGTGTGTGTGTGTGTGTGTGTGTGTGAGAGAGTGTGTATATATATATATATTAGTGCTGTCAAACGATTAATCTCGATTAATCGCATCCAGAATAAGTTTAAAATATTTTTTAAAAATACGTTTTTGTTTGTATAATGTGTGTGTACTGTGTATATTTATTATGTATATATACACATACACACACATACAGTATATATTTTGAAAATATTTACATGTCTATATTTATATTCATATAATTTATAT